ATCCGAAAAGCTATGGAGGTGTCAGCGTACTTTATGTGCCTTATGAAATGATATGGGTTCCTGATATTGTGCTATATAACAAGTAAGCAATAGTCAACTATTGATTTTTGTTGAATTTTTATTTAATTTGTTTATAGCGCTGACAGTAACTATAATATTACGATATCTACGAAAGCTACGCTGCATCATTCTGGGGAAGTCACTTGGGAGCCTCCTGCCATTTTTAAAAGCATGTGTCAAATCGATGTGCGATGGTGAGACAATTGTGCCGATAAATTAGGATTCTCTCTACGTAAATTGGTAGAGAACTATAAAAGGGAATGAAAATAAGTTGGAATATTTATTGCATAGCTTTCATGATTTATTTGATGCAATTTTTTTGAGCGGGCCATTTTTGGGTTGTGACATCAGAGGGATTCGTAGGGGCTTAGAAAAGAAGAGAAAATGAGTTGAAGAATTGGTATATGGTATGGTGAACAAAATTACCCAAATAATTACTCAAAGGAAGAAGTTGTGCAGCTGTGTTGTGCAACGACGGTGAAACGAGGATAAGCCTTAAAGACGATTAATTAAAACGTTTTACGCCACTAATAAACGCTTTAGCCTAAAAACGCACTGGCATAGAGAAAAGGCAAATCATCAAAAATCATCAATGTCCACTTTGTGTGAGAAAATGTCCGTAATTCCATTCCTATATCGATTTTTGCCAAAACACTAAGCTCTGTAGGCGGGTAATACTCTTAACTGATATGTACTATGCTTTAAAATTATACATTTTAGGTTCCCCTTTGACGAACAGCAATGTCACCTCAAGGTAGGTAGTTTTCGATACTTTAGGGTCTACCCACCATAAATTTTATTATTACAGTTTGGTTCATGGACTTACTCTGAAAATCTACTTAATCTAGAATTGCTAGAAGGGAATCTTCGTTATGAAGAAGAAGTGAATGAGAACGGTATTAAGGACAATATCACTATAGCGGATGATGGAATAGGTATTGAAGTAATGTGCGATTATAAGATGCAAGAACCTTAACTTTTTTCTAGATCTTTCCGACTATTATCCTTCAGTGGAATGGGACATAATGTCTAGAGTGGCAAGACGGCGATCAAAGAACTATCCTAGCTGCTGCCCTCAAAGCGCCTATATTGATATCATGGTAGAATTACCCAACCACCTCTGTTTACTCCACTCAAATGAAACGATCATTTAGTACTACCTGGAACTTCGACGAAAACCTCTCTTCTACACTGTAAACTTGGTGTTCCCATGTGTTGGAATATCGTTTCTGACCATTTTGGTATTCTATCTGCCATCAGATTCTGGTGAAAAAGTCACTTTATGTATTTCTATTCTTGTCGCCTTAACTATCTTCTTCCTGCTTTTGGTGAGTTCATTTCTTGTCAAAAATGTAGGTTTTCCAGTGCTGACTATATTCCATTTATCTGCTCCATATCAGATGCACTAGTTTTTCAGTCTTAAGCTATCAAAAACCCCAGAATTTGTATAAATGAAGAAAATTCCAGT